TCTGCACGGGGGCGTTTGTCGTGCTCGACGCGGCGGTCGCGGCGGGCGTCGCGGCCTTCAAGGGCACGGACCGCGCGCTGGAGTTTGTCACCGCGTACATCGTCGAGTACAGCCTCTCCGTTGACAACCTCTTCGTCTTCTTGCTCATCTTCTCCTTCTTCAAGGTCCCGCGCCGCGCCCAGCTGCGCGTGCTCTCGTTCGGCATCGGCGGCGCGGTCGTCATGCGCGGCGTCATGATCGCCGTCGGAGAGGCCCTCACGCATCGCTTTCGCGCCGTGTCGGTCGCGTTTGCGGCGCTGCTGCTCTTTTCTGCCGGCAAGCTGCTGCTCACAGGAGAGGGCGACGAGGACGAGGACCTCGAGCAGAACGCCATCGTCAAGTTCTCGCGCTCGCTCTTGCCGTTCTCGGACCATTACGATGGCGATCGGTTCTTCACGCGCACTGACGGCGCGCGGCTTGCTACGCCGCTCATGCTCGTCCTGCTGTCCGTTGAGTTCAGCGACGTCGTCTTCGCGCTGGACAGCGTGCCGGCCGTGCTCGGCATCTCAGACGACACCTTGGTCATCTACGTGTCTAACATCCTCGCCATCATGGGGCTAAGGAACCTCTTCTTCGTGCTGTCGGACGCCATTGGCGACTTGCGCTTCCTCCGGCAGGCGCTCGCCGTCGTGCTCGGCTTCGTAGGCGCGAAGATGATCACAGGCGTTGCGGGATATCACATCGACACGCTGCCGAGTCTCGGCGTCGTCGTCGGTACCCTGGCCGCTGGTGTGGGCTTCAGCTTCGCGTTTCCGGGCACGGACGAGGCTGAGGTCCCAAAATAGAAGCAGCGACTGCGTGTGAGTTTTTGTTGCGCGTTTTTCAACTATTGATGTGAATAGGCATGAGCGGACTTTGGCATCAAGCATCATCGGCTGGATTGAACGACGGTTTGCGTGATGCAAGATTTTGGAACCAGGCCTTTCCGTGCGATGTGTATCGGGATACTCTCCGCGTAGAGCATTTGAGTTTTGATGGTGGGATTGCCGTCAGGGGCACGCTCCGTTTTTCTCTTCTCTCATATCACCATTTATTTTTGCGATGGGCGTACGATAGTGGGACGGGATCCGTTGAGGTTTTGTGGCAGAAGTCAGCAAGTGCGGAGCGCACCACTTTTGCAGTGTGTGTACAGTAATCAGGGGTCTTGGTAGAGTTGGCACTAACACGAGTTGACACGAGGGATAAAGTTTTATGTATTTTGTTTGTGCGTCTTTAACGTTTGCAGGGTGGAATATCCGACAGGCTTCCTACTGGTGTGTTTACCGCGCGCGTGGCTTCCGGGAAGGCCGCGGCTGCTCAAATCTCGACGTCTCGCAACGGCGACATTTTTCCATTTGGCGTCAAGCGCAGGGAGGAAGCCAGAGCGAAAACGTCGAAGGCAGGCTAATGCAAAAAATGTGAACATGAAACGGTATACTGTATACAAAACCTCTTTAAAGAGGAAGGTTTAATTCAAGTTGTTCCTACGTAGTTAAGACTCATAACTTAAGAGAAGGCAGCGCTCTGCCGCCCTCCGGAGCATGTTAGTCCATTAGTGTCGCATAGTAAGTCATTTGTAGAGCGCAGATCCACCCCCCATGCACCATCTACACCCCGCATGCACTATCTATCCCAGGACTCCCGGGAACCACCCCAGTTGTCGCACAGCCATCTTTCCAAACATGGCCAACCACAGCAAAACGTACAGAGCGATGTACGCTAGAAGCAAGGAGAACTCCGGTGACGTCAGCGGCGACTTAAACTTCACCGCCTTGCTCGGCCGCGACGACAACGTCCTGTATACGACGGGTGGATTGTTGCCCCCGTCTTCAATGCTGATCAGGCTTGCGTCATCGTCGTCATCAATGTTGTACTCAGTCACGGCGTCTTCGGAAATCATGGTCCCGCCGCGCACCTCTGCCTCTTCCCATATCGATCCGCTCGGGCGCATGGGGCTCAGAAGAAGCGCGCCTGAAGAGGAATGCGAGGTCCATGGCGAGCTTGACTGACTCCTCGCTGCCGACGGCGTTCGTGAGAATGCGATATCGCGGGGCGTTCTCAGCAACCCTTCATGGCCGTAATCCACCCTCCCAATATTTTCTGCAGCAGTCGTCTTCTCTCCCATCGAAGGATCCGTGCTCGGATCCGTGCTCGTTCTAGACAAGATAGCCCCGCCAGGGTCATTGTTCGACAGCGGAGAGCTCGACAGTTCGCTGCAATCCTCATCCATACCTAATAACTGCGCAAGCGGCTCATTCAGAAACATGCCGATATCGTCGACAGCCTCATTCCGTCTCAGTCTCTTAAACTCTTCCAGGCTCTCCCCCAAGCTCTTCGCCACGACATCCGCATCACATATTTTCGCCATGTCCCTCGACAGCCGACACCTCGCCCCCGGTAGCCGCATCCACTCGGCCACCACCTCCCTCGCAAATGCCTCCCACCCCCTCGTCCCCAGGGCGCTACAAATCTGCACGACCGCACTATATGCGTTCCTCCCCTTCCCAAAATTTGCCGCCAGCAATGCGTCACTCGCCTTCACAAACGTCATCCTCACGCCCACATTCAGGGGATACTCGCCCCTTCGATCTGCAGACTGGACTTTTTCCGTGACCACCCTCCACAACTCACGCACAACTTCCCAATTGCCGTTCCCCTCATCGACCGGGACCGCAACCTCCACCGCCATGACCGGCCATCCTTCCGCGCTATCCTGAAACTGCACGGCGTCGGCCACATTCTGCCTAAACGGTTTCGCCTCCAGCTTCCACATGCTCTCCCTAAACCCGCGTGCCAGAAACGCTTTCGCCATCCTCGGCTCATACTCGGCCACGCCCCCCTGAGCAAGCGCCGCGCCGTGCATCCTAAACCACTGCGGAATGGTGTAAAACCTATATGCGACGGCTTCATCATCCTCTACTCGCCCACCAACGACGCGCTCCAAGGTGCGCATCCACACCAGATCGCCTTCCGGCCCCCACGCGCCCTCCCCGGCCGAGTTGAACGGTACCCACATCATCTGCACAGCCACTCCCCTTTGCACCAGCCCCTTCATCACCTGCAGGACCCTCCCCGCCAGCACACCGCCCATCGGCACGAAGCGGTTCTCCACCTTAACCACCCTTGGATACCGATCCACCGCCAGCGTGACATCATACAGCACACCAAACAGGCCGTGCGCGACCTTGACAGCCTCGAACAGCCCGGGCGGGTCCCTCCTCGAGTACACCCTGAGCCTCCCATGCGCGTCGACGACGCTCATCTCCTTGACGACGTCGGCCAGCAGCCCCTCCTTCAGGCCGCCCGCGCCGAGGGCGCCGCCCTCCAGCGCGTCGCCCACGGATCACACAAGCAGCCG